AAAAAGAGATGCAGCACAAAGATACTGTGTGTCTTGAAGCTGTTCAGTAATGACAGAATTGGTAATATAGAACTTTATGGCAATTTAGTAATGACTGCCTATCCAAATTCCGTTGTAAGACCATGATAATTTTTAAAATTTTCTTTCAGGTATATAAAGTAGCACAGCTGTGAGGAGGCTGCTTTGCTTTATGTGACTGAAAAGCAGCCTGGTTAGCTCAAGACTGTGGAATCAGAGCCCATTGTGTGTTCCTCAGACTTGGAGACTTCCCTGAAGTCCCTAGAAGTCCTGTGATGAAGGAATCAAGGGTCAAGTCTTTTAAATGGTTTGTGTGTTTATTCCAGAAAATTCGGCAGCTGCTTTTTCTGAAAAGCTGAACTTTACTATAGCAATGTAGAACACTTTAGAGCCCTTTTTTCCCCCTGGGATTTCAAAACAGATGTCCAGTCATCAAATCATGCAGAAATACAGAGCTGGCAAGATTGTTACAGATATTATAACTTTTGACAAAGTTACAGATTTGATTTGTTGTCAAATCTAGTCACCTTGTGAGTAGTCTTTGTCACTACAGATCTTTGTTGCCACAGATACTCACTCCTTTTTTATTCAAACAACTAGGTTTGGCACTGGCCCCTCTAACATAAGCTTAATTCTTGTGTGCATCTGAGGCTTTGCATTTGGAATCCCACCAAACCAGGTAATGGCAACTACAAGGTATTTTAGTTCAAAATAAGTAAATTTGCTTTTTTTTTTTTTAACTGGAAATAAAAATGCCACATGAAATCTTGGATTTAACATGCTATTTTGTTTATGGAAAAATATAGATGTTTAGTTTATAAGATTGAAAAAGTTTGCTTTTTAATTCCCACTGAATGTTTTCCAGTAAATTTTAGTGTGGCATTGTCTGCATTGGATAGGTCACTGAATGGTGCTTTTATAAAAGTGTTTGAAAAGAAGAACTTGGTCCATGGAAATTGTTCAAATAATCTTGTTAGAATGAAGCCTTGACTGAAGGCAGTAATTTCATGGATTAAACCCAGAAGGGCTGGCTAGGCTGATCTCCTTCCTATCACAGGCCACAGAGCTTTGTGCAGAGACTGTCTAAGCGAATGCTGGTTAGCTGCAAGACATAGGGGATTTTGCATGGACAATACATTGAACAACACCATGAAACTAGAAACTGTGGAACTTTTTGAGGACAGGATAAATAGAAGCAGGAAGAAAGAGTATTTTTACAGGCCATTTAGTAAACACAGTGAGGTAGAGTTGTTGCATCTAACTATGTTCAGCTTTCCCCTAAAAAGTTCCAATTAAATGTAAGGGAAATTGTTTTGTTTTTTTTTTTTCACCCCAGTTTATCCTTGTCTCTCACATGCCACATGTGGTCCAGAACTGAGCAACATGATGTCACATCCAAGTATGGGACAGAATTGACTGATTTGTACTTCTGCAAATTTGAAAAGTGCAAATTGTGAGCAAAAATCCAGTGCTGTGAAACCTGAAGAGAAATAGGGAGAGGAGAATACAGTGTGCGTATCTCTCTTACAGTTTGATATTTTTCCTTTTACAAAAATAAAAAATAAATGTCATTCATGCATCTTCTGAGTCAGCCTGTACTTTATTGTGATTCATGAGAACTTTTTGTAGGCAAGAACAATGTTCTGCTTACATTTTTTCAGGCATGTCAGATCTGATCTGGGATGGGCACAATACCATGATGCTACTGTTGTTCAATAGCAACGAGATACGAAAGAGACTTCAGGCAACAAGAAAATAGGCTGAGTACAATGTGCTGCAATAGCTATTCCTGGAGTGCAGTGAGCAGGTGACAGGGGAGGAGGAGAAACTTCTGGAAGAGTACTTTGCTGTTCCTTTGTCATAAAGCATGATCACAAAGGGATTGATCAGTGCTGGGTTCTGAGTGTTGCTCTGACAGTGAAGCTGCAAGCTGTGGCCCTGAATGTGGCTGGAGGATTTTCTGCTGAATATGGGAGCAGACCATGGTTAGATTTCTTCCTGAGGCTGCTTTGAGTGCATGGGCTTCACTAGAGAAGAAATATGAGCAGCAGAATGAGTGTAAGGGAGTCAGTGGGAACAGCAGTTTAGCATGAGGGCAATATAGGATGAGCTCCTGTTGAAGGACTTTAGGTGAAGGGCCCTGTTCTCCCACACAGTGCAGTTGGTGATCAGGCTGCAAAGTATTGCCTCTCTCAGTGTAATTGTATATTGCTTCATTTCTCATTAGTGAAGCAATGTAGGAGGAAAGAATGCAAGAAAATACAGATTACAAAGACTGTGAAGGAAATTAAGTGTTCTTGAGGGCTTTTTCCAAAATATTACTATTTTCATATCCCACCATTAGTTAGGAAGCTGCATTTATAAACCACCTGTACACATGGTGTGATGCTTCACACGTGATAAATCATGTGACTTTTGAAGACAAATTGTGCTGAATTAAGTTAGTCTGTTGATCCATTGTCACTGTATTTGGAGAATAACACAAACTTCATACAGTTGAATGGCTAACCATAATGTATGTAAGGTATGTATGGACAGAGTGAGGAGTGTTCTCTTCCTCTGATTACCCAGGTAACCATGAATTTACTTTTGGGCCACTACTAGAACATTAATATGTAAATGCACTCCTGGATCTCAGGAAGGTTATGTGGATTCAGGACAAGGCAAGGAGAAGTTTGGCTTCTGGGGGTTAATGTGAGAGTATAAACGTGCACCACTCTGATTATAAACATGCTGCACTCTTCTCAAAGTGAAAGCTTGTGCAGGAGGTCTCTGGCACACCAGTGAGTCCTGCAGTCATGTTTGTGATTTTGTCTCCATGCTCTATCAAAATGTAATTAATGCTCATATATGCTTGAAGGGCACATTCACCATCACTACTCCCAGCATAGGAAGTCCATTAGGTCAGTCTTCAGTTTTGGAGATCTCAGTTTTAACAACTTGGGTGTAAACCCCTGCAAAAATCCCTGCCTTACCTGTCTGGGATGTGGCCATCTGGGATGGGCAGCTTCCAAACTACAGCTCCCACCTGGCTTTAAGATGGTGTGACATGCAGGTATCTGGACTTTGATGTCATAGGTTTTGGAGGAATTAAGGGGATTCCATCCATTAACTTGACCTCCTGACTTTGTTACTTAATCCACGTTTGGGTGATAGCAGAAGGGTGAATAGCACGTTTAACTCTAACCAATCCTGAGTATTGAAACAGACAGGGTGAAGGGAAGAGCCACAACAGAGGAGGTGGGGAGTGCAGGACTGTCTCTCATGTAGGGTAAGTCAGAGTTGGGATGGCTCAGTTGCCACACTCACACAACTGTGGGACTCCTGGCAAGAAATCCAGCCCAGCCTGTGTGCAGCTCTGTGCCAGCTCACACAGCCTGGTGGAAAAAGGTTGATGCAGAGACAAGATTTAGCAGTGTAGTCCACTTTGAGCTAAGAGCTTCTGCATAACTTACATGGAGACATCAGCTTTCACATATGCCCTCTCACATGCTGCAAATTAAATGAGAAACTAAAAGAGGTGATGTGCTTATGAGTAAGAAATGAACTGATGAAAAAATGACGTTTTATTTTGAAGGGCGTGGATAAGGCTAATACAGATATAAGAAAGCAAAACTCTGTATAACTGATTTGAAAAGAAACATGTAATTAAATCCTTGAACAATATGAAGTTGGTCATAAATTCTGATGCTACTTTTTGCAGCTTGGAGGTCAGTGAAATTATAAGTTAAGGGAATTATATTTTGCATATGTTTGAAGTAGACATTTTTAAAGTTTCACTGTTTCCAATCCCAACTTTTGATGGATGCCCAGTAGTAATTTTTAAAATATTGAACAATAAAAATCACACTGAAAAATTCTTACTGAAATTACTTATTGCCCAGGAGATAAAATTGAAATAAGAGATGTATCTTTCATCACTGATTTTGAATATTTATTCTTTGTATTTCATTTATTCTAAACAATTTTTTATCTCTAGAGTTAAATCCTGACTAATTCTTCACTGTATCAGTTTTGCTGGGAACAGCAGTAGTTGGTTATTCCAAATATGAGTAAGGATAACAAGCTTGGGCTTGTACTAATTTTGATGAATAAATTTGCCTCGGGAATGACAAATTGTGTTAGCACTTTTCATTTTATAACATTAGACAATCAAAGATGTTAACACTTTGTAAGGAACCAGCATTAGGCAGTGTTTGGAACTGCTTATAGGGAGCTCTCAGGTGCCTGGTCTCAGCAGAAACTACTAAATAAGTTTCTCTATTTTTATTTTAGTAAAAGAATGGTGTGATTGTAAAGCAAGGTGTTGGAAGGGATTCCACTGTACTAGCAAAGTGTCCTTCCTTTTGTTTTACTCCGAGTTCTAAAATAAGGATATTTCTTTGCCAGTTCCTTTGAATTTTCTTGATTTTTAATTGGCATAATGATGGCAGGAATAGTCCTCTCTTTGTATGGTGAGAGGAAAGAAAGAAGTACCCCACGGGCATGAGGTTTTCTGCAGTTGTCTGTTCTGCAGGTTCACAACACTGTTACAAAAGGTGTAGTCTTCATTGATTTCTTGTCTTTTATTTATCTTCTTCATACATTTATTTCGCCACTGGGGTGAGGGGGTGCAATGGTATGTCAGGAAACAGCCATGAGGGAAGAGAAATACTAGAAGTTTAGTCGTAACGTTTTTCCTGGTAGTATTAATTATTTCTCTGTCTTGCTCTAGTCAGGGCCTGGTTTTGGATGACAAGCTTTCAGTTCTTCCAGGAGATTGTGGGGTTCCAAGAAAAGGAATTATAATAGCCATGTTGGTATAGCTGATACTTTTTACTGTATTAGTCTTATTGGATTTATTCCTTCTGGTTTACTTTACTGAATTAGATAACCCTGAAAGGGAATACTGGAGTATCTTATTTTCTCTCCACTTCGCTAATTTTGCTATAAATATTTTTGTATTACCGGTTTCCTACTTAGTAAGTGTAGCCATTGTATGAATCTTACCTTCATCCTTTGCTTTTGTAAGGTAGGCTGGTTGATCTTTTATAAGGTAGGGCTCACACATCAAGTTATCACATGCATTGAACTCTGTTTATTTTCGTAGGAGTTTAGCTCCTTGGCTTTTGAACAGTCCTGCTGACAGAACTGTGATGGAAAGCTTGAAACATTTTACTGCTGTTTAATTTTTTTCTGATTTGTGGGTGGATGGGTCCAGGTGATAGGTTTGAATCTGCAGGTTAATGAGTAAGAGAGCCCTTTCTTGACCCATGAAGTTTCCTGCATGAATTTTTGGTACAAAAATGCAAAGCTATTTTTTGCATCTTTTTTGTCTTAATTTTCCAGGAAACACAACATGCTTTTACAGAATTCAGAGGATGGAAGCTAAAACTTCTGGATTTGAAAAATGTTACTGTAGTCCTCCTCTGACATTATGACCTGGATGCCTGCTGGCCCTGCTCTGCAAGGCTGAGGCTGCCTTCCACCTTTGACATTTTGCCATGATCTTTCCTCTTTGAAGGGAGAGCTGAAAGTGGGGAATCCCTCACAGTGATCTGTCATCTGAATTCTCATTTAAATGGTAAGTCTAGTGGATAGAGATCTGCCACATAAAGCAGGTAAGCTAGAGATACAATGAAATGCTACACTAGCATTTCTTAATAACATACTATGGTTTCAATCAAAATATTTTTGTTGATAAGTTTGGCTTTTTGGTAAGAAAAGTATACTTGCAGAAGCACATATTTAGACATGCCAAAAACCCCCGAACAATCCAACCAGAAAGTGTTTAGCTGGAAGCCTCATTTCCCATCAAAAATAGATGCAGTGGAAAATTTTCAAGCAGCCCTATATTTAACCTCCTTGGATCAGAATTTGGTTGTTGGACTGAGGGAGGCTTACAGAGTTTTTTGGCTGCTTTTGTTAGGGTGTCTGTTTTTTCACTCATGACATCTGCCTGCTTTTCAAGCTATATTCAACCTTGTTATAACTCTTGCTATTGCAGCATTTTACTGTGCTCAGAATGCTAATTCCCACTGGACTCAACCCGCTTGGGTATGTACAAACTCAGTTTCTTTCAAGGGGTGCATCAATCTTGCTTTTTATAAATTTTATTTTGGCTATGTTTTAGTAAAAAAAGTGAGTATTGTGTACTGACTGTGCACAAAACAGTATTACTGCAATACAGTTCTAGTTCTTTGCCCAGGGTAGCCTTGCTTTGGCATGTTCTGGATACAAGTTTATATAAGTTTAAGGGATAATTGGATAAGTGAAAGAGAAGGTTCATTTGGCAGGATTAATAGATAAATCACATCAGTCTCAGGAATTCTTGAGTGGAATATAGTTGAAGCACCAGAGAATTATTCTGGGAAAATACTGTATTTGATTTCTTTGCTCATGCTCTCTTCTCTTCCCTCTGGCTTATGACTGCTTTTGGAAGCAGGATACTGAGCTAAATGGATCTTTGATCTGAATTGGTCACAGCCATCCTTGGATGAGGAGAAGTACAATGACAAACGAGTAAGTGTGGGCTTTGGCCGTCTGGAATTCAGCAAAATTTATCAAAAATTAATTTTTTTTCACCAAGAAAAGTGCAATCAAATCACTAAATATCTGAGCACAAAATAGAGAATTTTGTCTGAATAGATGATGATTCTGGAGTCTAAAGCATTCTGTTGATTTTTTTTTTTTTTTAATTTTAAAGTAGGTTTTGAAACTTCAATTTCTCCTTTGTTCCTTTTTGTAGAAGTAAGAATTTGCAACAACTATGTCTCAAATACAACTGTGAACCTTTCCGTGTGTTCTTCCAAAGTTGGTGGGGAGAACATTAGTGTGAGACTCCTGCAAAATTCACTGGACCTTGTATTATGACAAGAAGAGAAAACAAAGCAAGTATTAAAAATCAGGGAGGAAAATTGTTAGTAAGATCTGCATTAGTTTCAGTATGTGTTATGTCTTGTCATTAGTTCAGTGTCAGAATGCAGTTTGTAGCCAGAAGCTACCACCAACTGGCAACACGTGGCATTTCTCAAGCAAAAGTCGATTGTTATTCTTTGTTGCTTGTTTTGTGTCATAACAGCTTCACAGAAACATCTTTCCAGATATTCTTAACTTTCTTTTCATGGCAGTTTAACTTAGTTCATGACTGCTAAGTGATACTATGCTGTTTAAGTCTTCACAGGCATTAATGATCAAATCTGTAAAGGAGCATACTCCTAGTAAAACAGCAGGGTTTTTTTTCTATATTTTTAATAAACTCTTCAGAATTTTTATGATTTCCTGAAAATAGATATATTTCATTTTACTTCTGTGTGCTTAAATTTACCAGAGTGTGATATTGACCAAAATAGGTGAGTTCTCTTTTATTTCTTTTCCTGACCTGGCAGACTTTTTATTCAGATTTCTGTCAGCACAATTTTATTATAGTACATTGTTAGAACTATAAGTTCCCTTTTATTATTTTAGAATTATTTAAAATAAATATTTGAGAGAAAATATAATAGCCAGACAACATTTAAAAGAAAGAAATAGTTTGAGTATTGTTGAGAAATAGATTCATCCGCCCAAAGTGTGGCAGGAAGGACAACAGAGAAAGGAAAGCACAATATTGAAGCATAGCAGTCAGCTCATATGGTACCAGCTGCTCATGTGTGTATCTAAATACTTTCTGAAGCATAGTGCTCCACAGTCAATTAGCATTACTTCAAATAATCATTTTACAAGGAAGAAATTTTAGTGCATTAGAATTCATGAGTTGGAAAAAGTAGAAAAAATGTTCATGCTTTCCCAGAAAAGCAGTAGAAAATATGTAAATTCTATTAGAATTAATTTAGAAATTCTGTGAAGTGAAAGAAGATATTGTAATCCTGTCTCTAAAGTGTGTCAAGAATGGCAGAATAGTGCAACTTCTCTCACATAATTTGTATGCCTTAGTCAGAATTTTTATGATAATGTCAAGAACTGAGAAGCGAATAGGGTTGCTAAATCTGTCCACTCTTGAAACTGGAAGAATTGAGGGGAGTAATTGGGTGCAAAATAAACATGTGTTCACAAGTAATTGGACTGACACTATTAAATTTCTTTCATTTCAGTTCTAGGTAGTAATTACTTTAACTTCAAGGAAAAGAGATTACATCCTGTAAACTTTCTCATGCAAAATAGTCTGTCCTCCTGTGAGTGATGCTGGTTGCTTTAAAATGTCTGTTTGCTTGAGAAAAGGTTTGTCATATCAGGTCGTTAAATGGGAGAGGGGATTAGGAAACAAAAAATCTGGTTTGCAGTGGGGGTTAACTTTTGGAGGTGTGGGGCAGAGTATGGACAATGAATATCACCATCTTTTAAGTGTTCAGTACTATTGAAACTGTTTTCCTTATGCAGAATCCTTTATTGGCAGAAAATCTGTGAAATAGAGAGTGAAGGTAAATGCCGTGGTAAAATATATATAAAGAATCTAATGTCAAAACCCAGAGTTAAGGCATACATCTTCTAGAGGTTTAGGAAATTATGAGGATAAACTTAAAAAGTGTTTCTATGCTTAAAAAGCCTGATTGTCATTGTATATATCAGTCTCTTATCTCTTTTGTAGACATGTTTGTGCTATCTACCTGGCATTTTTGATGGAAACAACATTTTTACAAGAGTCACTAATTTAGTTTGGGATATAATAAATAGTTGTTAACTTTATGGGTATTGTTAGTTTTGTGGGTAATAAATGTGATTGTAATAATTTTCACTTTTAAATAAGCTGCTTCATTCTGTATGTAAAACAAAATAGCTTCAAGATGGTTTTGTAATTAACAAATGTCTAGTTGATCAAAAATATCCTCTCTAGTATGAGGCATGGAGATTAGGCTAGACTGTGTTACAGAATAATGTGATTATAATGATTTCCTTAAGAGAGCACAAAAGCAACATCTAAGTTTCAACTGACGTTTATTGACACACAGCATCTGTTGGGAGCCCCATCAAACTTTCTATTCTTTTCTGTTTACCACCTCCTGCTTTTATTTACAGTCAGCATATCTGTTAATTAGCCTCTGGTAGAGCCAGTTCTTCTAAGAAGATCTCTTGTCTTCCTGGTGATGGCCCCATGAGGTGACCATGTACACACAGTCTGTGAGTGAATTAATCTTTAACTCATTAATTTCAGTGCCTGATTCTGCCATGTTTAACTGCTGGCTTGGTTTCCTGCTCAGCAATTTGTATTTGGAGAATTGTGATCCTTGACTTCTGCTGACCTCAATGTCATGAACACATCTCAGTGAGCTCTCAGCTTCTCGTGGTAACCTCACTGAAAGTCACATCTTCCTGTAGCCATTTGGTTTCCTATGATTGCACCAGAATGCAGATAGGACATTGATGACTTCCTCTGTATCACTTAGGTTATTTACCTCGTTTTTATTGCACATTTGCAGAATAAAATTTCTCCTGCACTTCCTCAGCTATCTATCACCATATCTGGATGCAGCATTTTGCAAAACAAGCCTGAAGTAATGTTACAACACGTGGATCTCACAGGAGGCTGCTCTGGAGGGGACCACACTGTTTTACAGTCTCAGACCTGGTGATGACATGAAGCTGTTTATAGCCACAGTCTGAGTGCTAGAGGTGCTTGTTGCAGTCCACTTCTCTCACAGTATGGCTTGTTGATTAGAAAATAAAAAAGTTGGAGCTATACTTGAAGGAAAAATTCAGGAGCAGGATTCAGAGATCTCCTGCCCAGGCCTGCAGTGTGTGCTGGAAGTGCTCTGAGAGGTGAGAGCTGATGTGTGCATCTCAGCGGGGCGTTAATGGTTGTTTGTTTCACCTGAAACCTGAGAAAAGAATGACCGGGCCACTTATTTGCACAGTCAGCTGTAGGTAATGCCTTAAGTGATGACCAAGTTCCTCACTTTTGCCCTCTCACTCCTCCTCTGTGAGAGTCCTTGAGGAGCAGCCAAACTCTGAAGACTTGAGCAAAGGTTAAAGGTGCCCTTGAAGTCCTGCCCAGAGCAACTGCAAGTATTAAAAGCCATAAAGTACATGCTGTGGTAATGTGAACATTTTTTCATAATTTAATGAGAGCTTTACTGATAAAAATTCACTGTTTCAATTAAAAAAAGAAAGAAAAAAATCCCAACAAAACAAACCCAAACCAACCAACCAACAACATAATCCCTGGAATACATTCAGCTTTTGTACTGGAAAAGTACCTCAAAGGGCTATGATCTTCTCTCTTTAGTGGGAAAGTATTTTTGCTTATCTGAAAGGTTTTATGCTGGCAGAACTGCATTGCATTGTCTACTTTTTGTGGCTAGGCAGATCCAGGTAAAGTGACTTAGTTTTAAAGGAACTAGAAACCTTAATTCCTTTAAATCAAATTCCTAAGACATCCAAATGTCTAGGATGCTGTCAAAAGAGACATAAAAATTAAAAATAGGAGGTGAATATTTGCTACTGATAGTTCATGGCTTTGGAGGGCTAGTGGTGATACAGTGTTGTGATAAAAAAATCAATGAAAAAGTGTCAGTTAAAGTTTCCTTTCCCACCTTTAATTGTAAGAAGTCAAAGCTGACTGATGTGTTAATGTTTCATGGGGAAAGTTGACACTGAGGGGAAAGGGTGGGCAATACTTCTTCAAAACGGGTTAACTGCTTTTACTTGTTTTGTGGTTGAAGGGCAGAGAAATAAGAGATGCTGGAAATGTTTTCTAAAATTATGTGGCCCTTCATCAGTGTTTTATAGGTACTGTTTAAGCCATCTTTGCTAAGGAGAAGCTCCTTTACTATTAATATGCTGTCAGCTTTCAAATCTCATCAAGGCAGCACCAGGGTTTTTTTTGCACAGATTTCTTTTGACGTACAGCCTCAATAAATATGGAAATTACAACTTAAATCTCATTTTTTTTTCCCTGCAAAGCAGTACAGTGCCCAAATTCATTGAATTTCAACTTTTATTTTTTCTTAATGTTGAAAGACATATATGCAAATTTTATTAACAATATGCATGGTTAAATTTAGCTGTAAATTCCAGTCAGAGATTTTTGCTTTGTTTATTGTCCAAGTCAATATGTCTGTGGAGAAAACCTCCTGCTGTGCAGGAATACATAGTCAGCTACTTGGGAAAGTAGAAAGTTTAATTATGAGAGTTTGTTCTGGAAAAAGGTAAAGCAAGCACTGTTTTTTGGGTTGCTTTTTTTTCTTATTATGACTTCAGTTAACAGAAATTCAACATACACAGTTTATTTTGACACTAACTGTTATCAGACAAACCACTTGATTTTTCTTTAACCTGGTCTTCTGTATAACTGAGAGGTTCTGAAAGAAAGTAGAGGTCATGAATAAATGATGCATTTCTTAAACTTGCAAGGTAGATCATGACATAAATGAAATAAAATCCAAGTGTGAAGGGAAAAAAGAAGCATAAACACATGTATTGCTGACAATATCTTCATTAAAATATACTTTATCCTATGAAGATATTAGTGTCAGATGCAAATTTCCTTTGCTGCTCTCTCTGAAGTTATTCTGATTTTTTTGTGT